TAATTATTTTCTTCTGAAAGTATTCGGAGTAAAGTATAGTGCCAAATCTTCCAGCTGGCCTTTGATAAGGCCCTAGAAATCGGAGATCATGACGCTATAATCTCCATATGATAAAATAATATCGGTGCGTTTTCCTTTACTCTAGAAGTCTGTTTGCGATGAAACAAGCATCCGGGCATGTATGGACGAGCTAAAGGAAATGGCGGACAGCGCCGGAGATAACTATTTTGGGGACGCTTTCATTCAACTACGTCACTACCTGGCAATTCACGAACCAGGGCTTCTCACAGATGATGACCGACAGTTTAGGTCTCCGATAAGAGGCCTGGGGATAACTAACCACGACCACGGAAATCGGCACCATCAGAATGTCTGGGAGGTAAAAAGTTTGTTTTGATTTTCTTAATAAACGCTGATGGCTTCGTTCACGAACGCCCGATCGTGTTCCATGTTATATGCTGTCTACGCTTTCTTTGAGAACCTTCAACAATGTACATAGACACTTTATCGATCGAGGATAATACGTCTAATACCCCAGTAACAAATTTTATTGATTAAAATAGAGGACCTTGCATTTCTTAGCTAGTTACACATATATGATATATAAGCAAGTCTATTATATATTTACTGATTACATGCAGTCTACAATGTAGAATCTCACATTTTCAATATCTTCGAAAAAGTACTGAAGATCTAGTTGGTTTATTTTTGTTTTGTCTTGATTATCAGTGAGTCGATTATTTATCTGTAACTAATTCAGTTAATACAACTGTTCATATATACATTCTTTTCCTTTATCTTTCTCCTTAGAAATATTTCATGGAAGGCCTTGAAGTCGAGGATTCCTCTCCGCGTAATGCAGGATGATGCTATGATCGACTTGATTAAACGATTTAACGCAAGCAGTTGCCCTTGTATTTAGATTTATAGCTGCTAATAACAAATTTCAAACAGATGACACAGAATTCAGTCGACAGTCTCAAAGATTTAGCAGAACGATCGAGAAACGTAACCCACGTGGTTTTGACCCCGGTGGGCTAAAATTGACTGGAGACCTCAGAGACGAAAATACCGGTCACCTGGAGCGAAAGGCGACGGGGAGAAGAGATAGGCTGGGAACGAGATTGATTCACATAGCCTCCGATCATGCTCTCCCTAAAAAAGGCGTAAAACGCCTATTCAAAAAAAGACGATGAAACATGAGAAAGTATAGCTTTACACTATTCCTTGTTTTTGTGTTCGTCTTCTGTGGCCATGATTTGTATTTTTGGATTCTGTTTCAGTTTTGCGGTTTAATTTTGTATTTTTTTGGGTGTGTTCCCTGTTGGGGATGCTTATTTCCGTTTGGGGATTTGTGTTTCTGTTTTCTGGTTCCTCGAGAGAATCCCCTGATTTCTCAGGAATTCCCGAGAACTATTCAAGACAGAAACGACTGTATATCTTTTTGATCTTGGAAACTCTCGGAAATTTCCCAGAACAGGAAAATTTTTATGGGAAGAGAATACAAGAATCATCAAAAATTTCGAACCAAAAAAATTAAGATATTAATCAAACCGGGTATAAAATACGAGAGGTCAGAGAACGAAATAAAATACTGAGACGTGACGGGCGACGTGACACACTCACCGGGTGCTAAACCAATCTTAGATTCTCCTCAGTAGATTAAACAATATGTTATCGATTATATTATCAGTACTTTTTGAAACAGCTAGCCTGCGAGCAGGCTTACTTGACTGTTTACTTCTACGAGTTTGTGGAAAATTTTGCCGGCCCGAGGAGGCAGAGCCCACGAGAAGAATAAGGCCGGTTTCAAACGTCGTGTTACTGCCGTGCCGAACTCAATTGATCGAATTAAATTCGACTTTGTAAGCCAAGTCGGGCTTGCCGTGCTACACGGCAGTAGCTCGACTTGGTTTCAAACGTCGCGCTACTGCTGTGCCGAACTCAATTCATAAATTATAAATACATTAGAATACATTCAAAAGTTTGCCAAACCGTTTCTTTATTTTTGTGCTTTGTTTTCGTCAACAGCCGTTCTATTCGACTGAATTACATTCAACGTCTGAAACCAAGTCGTGCTAATGTCGTGCTGCAGTCGAGCTACAGTCGAGCCAGCTTAGCACGGTAGTAGCACGACGTTTGAAACAGGCCTAAGACGAAGAAAGGCAAAGGTGAGCCTGAATCGCGTAATCTAAAGTTCGTTCCCAAAGGGCGAAGGCTTATTAATAAACATGTCAGTCACAGATTAGGAAAAGTAAAAGAAGAAAAAAAATATTGTCCTACTTACATGTGATAACCGCAAACCTCAAATTTGACAGTCCAAGTAAATGTCAGCTTCTGACCCTACTTGCAGATTCGGTTTTCTTCTTAAAGTTTACCAGCTGAGTAATCTCAGTCGACGATCCATAGACATATTGTGTCTGGGCATTACGCAGAGGTGAAATATACAGTTCTACTACTTTAGCGTAGTATAAATCAACGTAAAGTAGCTCTTTGGAGACGCTCCCAAACACTCAGCAGAAAGATTCTTTGTTTCATATCTCATGACTTTACCACGTGACTGTGGTGCGCAGAGTTCTTTTCTATTGCGATAGACACCCAAAAGTACCCCGTGTGCGATTTTCGGAGGCGAAACGAAGAGTGGATGCCAAGTACAATATTCACGGATGTATTACATAATTGTAGATGATTACAAGATCAAGACCTATCCGTCGAGCGTGCTTACTAAGAAGATTGATAATCTAATCCCACACCCCTGTCCCAGCCGGGGTATGGGGTACCCCAGAGGCCTATGATTACCTGGTACTCCCCTATGTGGGCGAGATAGTTGTGCCCTGCGCCTGAGTGGGGTATGGGTTTAAAGGGTCATTTTTGCCTTTGTTGGCGTTGTGTTCCTAGGGTGATCCTTAGATAGGGTACCTTGAGTGTATTAGCTAAAATTCAAGTTGGTAAATGCCCAACTACACGAAAAAAAGTCGACTGTTAAAACGGAACTGTCCCTACATGAAGGTGTATGCGTTTGACTGTACGTTTATTAAAAGAAATTCATTGCAACAATACATGCATTGTACATCTAGCCGGATTTATGAAAACCGTAACATCGGACACCAGGAGCCCACACACCTTAAACTGACTCAACTAAAGTAAATATCGCCAAGAAACTCAGCTCTTACCCATGGTTATCTCTTAAGGTGACTCTCTTCTTGGTTCCTGATTAGCAAAAGAAACATTCAAGTCCATCAAAAAGACACTCTGGACTTGTCCATACACTCTAGCTGCTTAAAGGCCCTGAATGACGGAGGACGCCTGAGACTTCAGCAAGTTCTAAGCAGAGAATTCAAGGTTAAGTCACCCCCCCCTGACTTCCTCCACCCCCCAGCCTAGCACGTGCTTGAGGGGAATGCTTTCATTGGCCAATGGGCCTCAAACGTCACAAGAATTTCACATGACAAACTAAAGGCAGACGTGACCAGTGCACTGACTCTCCCAGACCAGGACTAACGGAAGGTACAACGCTTTTGCAGCAGCCTCCCCCCCTAGGGATTGACGTGGAGGCCCCTTTCCAACCCATGGCGAGTTAGCTCAGGGACTGAACTTGACAATGAGACCAAGCAGGACAGCAAGCCCCCTATGTTTTCTCTCAGCGCAGTGACCAGAAAGCTGGCTATGGCCAGCTTTCTGTGCGAATATTCTGGTGCATTTTCAGGTAGGTTTTCAAAAATTCGGCTAGATGTTGACGACAAATGCTGTCTTTTCCAAGAAGGAGGTCACCTCGGGCCAAATCTGCCTCCTCCCAACCCAGTTTGGCCCCATTTCTCCCCTCCCGACAGCATTCAACGACATCATCTAGCCGGATTTATGAAAACCGTAACATCGGACACCAGGAGCCCACACACCTTAAACTGACTCAACTAAAGTAAATATCGCCAAGAAACTCAGCTCTTACCCATGGTTATCTCTTAAGGTGACTCTCTTCTTGGTTCCTGATTAGCAAAAGAAACATTCAAGTCCATCAAAAAGACACTCTGGACTTGTCCATACACTCTAGCTGCTTAAAGGCCCTGAATGACGGAGGACGCCTGAGACTTCAGCAAGTTCTAAGCAGAGAATTCAAGGTTAAGTCACCCCCTGACTTCCTCCACCCCCAGCCTAGCACGTGCTTGAGGGGAATGCTTTCATTGGCCAATGGGCCTCAAACGTCACAAGAATTTCACATGACAAACTAAAGGCAGACGTGACCAGTGCACTGACTCTCCCAGACCAGGACTAACGGAAGGTACAACGCTTTTGCAGCAGCCTCCCCCCCTAGGGATTGACGTGGAGGCCCCTTTCCAACCCATGGTGAGTTAGCTCAGGGACTGAACTTGACAATGAGACCAAGCAGAACAGCAAGCCCCCTATGTTTTCTCTCAGCGCAGTGACCAGAAAGCTGGCTATGGCCAGCTTTCTGTGCGAATATTCTGGTGCATTTTCAGGTAGGTTTTCAAAAATTCGGCTAGACATATAAGGCTGAATTACGGCGCTACTTACAATCGTAAAATAATATGTACATAATAAATCACAACGCTACTTTAAAAAATCACTAACTACCTACAACTAATACTCAAAAGTAATAACATCTTGAGTGCGCTGGGTCTTACAAATTCTGTATATTGGGCGCAAGCAGTAGTTAGCTCCTGACCTCAGATAATAATTATTCCTGAACATCCTCCAGTTAAGGGAGAATAAAGTCAATAAAGTGAAATAAGTGATTTTCGTTCTGTAATTTTGCAATTATTAGTTTTTTTTTCCTTGAAAAACTAGCCTGCGTGTAGATGTGTACTACTTCCTTTCATGCACGCCGAGAAGACTTTTTTTATTTGATTTCCTGCGTGCAACATGAACAAAATAGTAGAAGTGTGCACGCAGCCCATTGAAAAACTGATGTGTGATTTTTCGGGTTTTGGACCTTAAACCCTAGGCTGCACACAGCTATCGAATTTCAGGGACCGACCACCCCCATAAGAGTTCTCAATGATTTTCAAGTCAAACTGTTCGGAACCATTCCTTTAGTTTGTCCACTTTTGTTGACAAAGGCTTGTTTTAGCCATGAGGCCGAGAATCAAGGAACCTCCTTCCTCTTTCCCTTACCCCCCCCCCCCCCTTCCTCCTTATTTTATATTTTCCCGCATGCTTGGCGTCGCACTCCACCATCTGAGCGCCTGGGACAGGTCAACCCAGAAACAGCAAAGAATTGTAACATGTTTTCAGCCTCCAGCATGAAGCGTTAAAAGTAATTAAAACGTTTTGTAGAAATATAAATTTTAGTAAGCCTTATCCCAGCATTTAACAAATTATATTTCATTGAAATTACGTTATATTTTGGTACGGGAGCCGGGAGCTATGACGTCTTCATTATCACTTAAAAGAAGATTGAAAAATACGTACACACAATGTCTAAACTAATTAAGCACGTCAAGAACAAAGATTGTCTGTAAGTGGAGACGTAATTTGCATAGTTTTAGTCAGAACTCAAGAAATGAGCACAATGCGGACGCTGTCAGAAAAGAAATTTGATTATCGTGTGTCACGCCTTCTGTTAGTTCTGCTATTCTTCTTTTGCATCGTGGGATTTCTACTTGGTACAGTGTTGATATATCTCAATGTGAACGACAGAATTAGCAAGCTCGAGCAGAAAGTGTTCAGTTCCCGGCAGCCGCAGACTTGAGCTACAAACTCTTTGCAGAAATATCAACTTGAGGAGAAGGATCGTCTACTTTGTGTAAGTTTTCACGACCAGGATATTATGGGTATAAAATTTGGAGACAGACGAAAGGAAAAACTGACTATACTGTACTGTCAGAGACTATCACAATTAATGCAGGTAC